TGCCGATTAATCGGCAAAACCGATACATCGGTCGACCTCTATTCATGATAGCCTCCTCTTCTCAGGAGCTTCAGTGGGCTATGCAGAAGCACAGTGAGATTATCTTGCAGCTCAGCACCAGCCTGCAGGTGGTCCTGGCAAACCGACAGCAGCTGCAGCATCAGGCATTGCAGCTGAGTGACGAAATCCTTATCTTACAAGAGCAACTTCAGCAGGTGGCTCCTTTTCGATGATGTATCACCATTTATGCCAAACTGCAGGCAGTCAGGGCTTTGGGGCCCTGGGGCTGTGTGACGTGGCTTGCAGGAGATCTGAGGAGTTTGTCTTTCAGGCCAGCCAATTGCTGATGAGCTGCACTTGCGGCTGTGTGGAGCTCAGCCAGACGCAGGAGCAGGTCTCCCGCTTCCTGCTCCGCCTGCGAGGCCACCAGTGCCAGCTAGATGGGCTGCAACAGCAGCTAGAGGAAACCCATCAGGTAGTGCTGTGTCTCTGACTGGCTGCTGTCTTGGGGATTTTGGCTCATTATAGTCCATTGGTTTACCTCCTCTAACACCTTGCCCTTAATTCTTGTTAGAGTACTAGAGACCAGCAGCAGCTTCTCACGCAGAAGGATGGCATAATCTCAGAGCTGGGGGAGAAGCTGGCTGATGCAGAGAAGGCTTTGTCACTTTTGAACCAGGAGCTAGTGGAGCTCCGGCAGAGCACCTGTATGGCTGATGAGGGCTGCTGCTGGGATGCAGAGCTGCATATGTTGATGTCGGAGCTGCAGAAGGGACGAGGCGACTGCCTTCGGGAGACGTGGCACACCGCAAATCTCCCTAAAGCCTCTGGGAAGGAGCAAAGTGGACTGAAGGAGCAGCTGGCTTCTGAGCAGCCTGCAGTGTGGGCCCACAAGACGCAGCAATGCCCGACTAAGACTCAAGAGCTGCACACAGAGATTTTTCGGCTGAGCATCTTAATCCTGGATCTCCAGCAAAAGCTGGAGCAAGAGGAACAGTCAGGCCAGGATCTTAAGTTCACAACAGGCAGATCAAATGGTGGATTGCAGCTGCGGGTGCTAGGTGAGGAAGGGGCGATTGATGTTGCTAACTTGGATGGGGCTCATGAGACTGCCTTGCAGTGCCTGAGAGAGGAACATAGGGACAGTATTAAAAAGCTTAAGGAACAGTTGACAGCTCTTCTATGCTACAGAGATGAATTTTGCCAGACTGCCTTAGAGGGCCCAGCACCAATCCCCCGTGTAAAGTCAGGCAAGACCCGCGTAGCTATGGAAATGGCCACTGGTTGTGACAGAGATCCAGTACAGGAAATCCTGGGGTCGTCTTCCAGTGAGAACCATCTGATGGAGAAGTATCTTTTCATCTCAGAGAAATGGGATTCTTCCTGTTTGGAGAGAAGCAATGATGGACTGAACCTTCTAGAGCAGGTTGGGAATTACAGATTTGAGTTTGGCAGTGAGCTAGAACTTGAGAGGTCGAAGTCTGTAAACTCTGATCTAGAGCACACTGAACAAGATCATGATGACCAAAGTCTAATTCCAGAAGCTGGGGGAAGATACGTCAGCTCAGCTATGCATGATCCTTCTTTGCGCAGGCTGTCAGAAGACTCTGAAGCTGTTGATTTGGGAAAAGTTCTGATCATGCAGCAGTGCAGGGATTTGAATGAACAACTTGCAAAACGAGATGAGCAGCTTCGCGCTTTGCAAGAGGAACTACGAAAGTCAGCAGTAGAGGTTCAAGAAGCTTTGCAGAAGTGGAGCAGTGTCACAGAAACTCTGTACTCTGTGCAGTGTGAACTGGAAGAAGAGAGGAAACGGAGGATCCGCTACCAGGACCACTTGAGGAATGAACTCTACTCCCTTGGGAACCATTCAGAACTTGACAGAGATGTGGGCAACCTGATCCAGAAGCAGAAATGGCCTGGTGTCTCTCTCACCAGTGATGTTCGCATACTTTTTGGTCACCAACCTGCTACCCTACAAATGCAAAATAATGAGCTTCAAACCCAGATAGACATGGATATGGCTAAGAATCAGACTGTTTCTGAGTCCCTTGCACAGAAGACACTAGTCTCCATTGAAAATGGTCTTCATCTCCAAACAGAACTGGAGAAATGTAGAGTTTATAAGGCTACAAAGGAGAAAGCAGAGCTGGAGTCTCAGCTGCTTTGCCTTCAGCAGAATTTGGCTAATACGGAGACGTCTCTTGGCCAACGTTCCAAGGAAAAGATGGCTCAGGAGCAATGCCTAATGGGATTGGAGTTCAAAGCTAACAATATGGAGAGCATCATGGTGTCTCACTCTGAAGAGTATAATAGTCAGCTCAAGGAAAAGACATCTGATCTGGAAGTGCTTGAAGAGGGCAGAATGACTGAGGAGAAACATCAGCAGAAGGAAGCAGAGTTAGTCCGCAGGAAGTGTCTGAGAGAGCAGGAGCAGCTGTACAAGGAAACTCTGGAGAAGTTTTGCAGCTCACACCAGGAGGAGAGACTAAGTCTGGAACAGAAACACCAGCAAGTAGTGAGTTTCAATGGGGTATCTACAGCTGAGCTGTTCTGATTATTCAGTTGGGTAGAGTTTTGGTGATGATTATATGCCATGCCATGTCTTATACCAGGTAAAGAAGCTGCATGAAGAAATGGAGAGCAAGCCACAAGAACTGAGGCACACAATGGAGAAGAGACAGAGAGAGCAAATCATGCTCATCAAAAAGGTTCTTGAAGTGATGGCTTCAGTATTCTAGTCATCAGTGCAGTACATTTAGCACCAAATTTTTTGCATATCCCAGAAGTCCTTGCAGTCATGTAGAGTAAAGCCCAATCCCAAACTGGTCCCTACACACTCCCCCTCACCATCCCGCCTTAGTTTGCGTGTTCCCGAGACCTGTCGCCATGTTGAAGTGTGTCTCAAAGCAGCAAGGGCTAAGGGGGAGTGGTCGATTATGCCCTCCTGAAGCGAGTCAGCAACGATGGTGGCTCGCGCAATTCCACTTTCATATCCCACAATTCCTAGCGCACAGGAAATGGAACAGCGCGAAAAAAGAAAAAAAATACACAATGTCATGTTCTTGATAATGTAATAATTGGATTCTAACAGCACTGTAAAATACAAATAGAAAGCCTGTTACATGTTATAATTAATCTCTGCAGAAAAAAAATTAGGAAAGCAGCTATTTGTAGCTGGTCAGTACAGATTTTATCGTGATCTGATTAAGCAAGATTTCGTGTACTTGTCAAACTAGAAACCATGCGAAGAAACGTTTGTACGCAAACTCGATCAACATCACACCAGCAATAACAATTTGTTTCATATTTGCCTGTTTTTTTTCCTCTACAGATCTGATCTGGTATTTGGTACAGAAGTAATGCATAATGTTTTGTGTGTAAACTAAGTTAGCTATGGTAGAAATTGTACAATCGCCAATGACACGTGTACATACTTCAGATTGCTCAGTCAGTTCAATAAGACAGCTTAGCCATCTTCTCGCATTAGATAAACTGTGTGCTTTTTTAAATACAGTGGTACCTCAGTTCTCGAACTCATTATAACTTGAATTTCTTAGGTCGAACCAACCAGTTCGGAAAAAATTACGTAGAACTCGATCTGAATCTCAGAAGTCAAACCGTGAACGCCGACCTAAGAACTTGTATGCGCAGGGAAATGAGTCATGTTGTACATCTCTCAGCAGAAACAAAGGGAAACGCTTCAGGCTCAGCCTCGCTTTCACTGTGATAGCATCGTGCATGTTTACAGTAGCTGAATACATATATTTTGACAGTAAAAATACATTTAGACAATGATAGACAGTAACAGTAATTATATAATAAAATACTTTTAAAAATAGATTTCTTATTAATTATTTTAATATTAATAATAAACAATTAATACATTTAATTATAATAATATTGTTGTGCCGAGCGGGGACGGAATGCAGACAAAGGCGCAGACGTCAGGGTATCGGGGAATATGGGGTTTAATTACAGGTAAGGCAGGCAAAATGCAGACAGGCAATACGATAACCGGACTGGGGAAACAAACTGAAACGTGGACAAAATACAGAGGACTAATGACAACCAGAAACAGCTGATCACATGGGGTTAACGAGGGGGCATGGCACACGGAAGGAGCGGATGATCGGGGCAGGACAAATTGTTTTTTTTTAATTTACACAATGTTTGGATACATTTGTTTTCTTACTTTACAAATTACTGTTTTGATAAATGTGCTTAGATGTGTTTAGTACAGTATATGCTCGTCTTGTTTTATCCGGTTCATTTTGTGTTTAAATGCTACAAAAAACATTTAGGTGTAATTTTTTGGGACCAGGAACCAATTAATTGGTCTTCCATTATTTCTTATGGGGAAAATTCGATCAGAACTCAAACTTTTTAGAATTCGATCCGGAGTTCTGAACGGATTAAGTTCGAGTTCTGAGGTACCACTGTAACTGATATGTCATTAAAGAAAATACAATACAGCTTCTTCATTTTTGTCAAATCACTACGTAATACATTTCCTCTTTCCGGTAAAGAAGACTGTAAAAAGGCGCTGCGAGGGCAAGTCTGTCTCAAATCTTTCTTGTGACAATTTCCTTCAGTTTAAGTGCATAGGGTTGTGAGGGTGACTGTTGTGAGGGTGACTCAGCGGGAGTGTGACTTGAAATGAAGGCGGAGTGTTGAGGGTATAGTTTTGGATTGAGCCTAAGTTATGTTCTGGTTTAAACTATGCATTTATGTGCTTTTTAACTTGAGGCCCATGTGCGGAAACATGAGAGGGAGTGGGTGGAGCTGGCCTGCAGACAGGAGGCGGAGTTGAGCCACCTGTGGGCAGAGCTCAGCACTGAGCTGCAAGAAAGCCTGGAAGCTGCACACCAGGCAGAGTTGCTCCTGGCACAGGTTAGCAAATGTGCCAAGTACTGCCTCCCTGTGAATATACTGGGTACTGCAGGCATTTATAGTGCTGAGAGTGAATCTTTGAAGCAGGAGCAGCACGGTCTGGAATTGGAGGCCCTGTGGCTGAGCCTAGGTGAGCAGCAAGTGGCCCAACTGGAGCGGACTCAGGATGACCAACAGCATGATAGTGTGGTGGTGCTCAGTGAGCTGCAGGCTAGCCTGTGTGCTCGCTGGGCTCAGGAGAGCACCTTGCTGCAGACATGTCACCAGAGGGAGCTGGTAGCCACTGGCGAGGATCACCAGCAGGAGCTGGGTCAGTGGCTCTGGGTAGTATGGGGGCCCTGGGTCTGGTGAGTGCCCATGGCAATACTGAAGTATGGGCTTTCTAGCCTTAATCGGAGAGAAAGGCTGAATGATTATGCAGCCCAGGGCCACACAGGAGTACAGGGGCCCGACTAAAATGAACCTCTGTGGGTTTCTTCCTAGACACACTCATGTTCATTCTTCTGATGTGATTAAGTTTCTTCATTAAAGAAGGAATCAGTGTTTCCCTCTAGGTTGTTGTATGGTCAAGTGGTCTTTTTGACACCTCCAGAGGGGATGAAATGGGCGTGGGAGGCCAAGCTGTCCAAGCAGGAGGCTCTGCTGGAGAAGCAACACACCACTGAGATGGAGGTAAACCCAGACGAGCTTCCACAGATCGTCAAAGTGTGCTTTGTCAGGGTGCAGAGTGGTTATGCAGCGTTTCTGGTTCCAAGGCCTTGAAGCAGAATGAGGACAGGGCCAGGGTTGAGCTTCAGACCTCCCTGCATGACCTGTTGGCATCCCGGGAGCAGGAATTTGCAGAGAAAGAGCAATGTCTGCAGCAGCAGGTGAGAGCAGAATTAGATTATTTGCAGCATGCTGGAACCAGGCTGCACTTGGGTGTTTTTCCCTCCAGTTTTTACTGCTGATCTCTGGCTTTCAGTGGTTTCTGTAGTTCTAAGCTCTGGTGTGATGTGGCTCACCTATTTGTCTCTGGTCTTGTGGCAGGTGTTTCTGAAGTCTGGCCTGGAGCAGAAGCTTCCCCGGTTGGGAGGTGAGGGTCATTCTTCATGCTAGTAATTAATCATAACCACATTAGTTGATCTTACTTGTGGTAAAGCTTCCCTTCTTATCACTGCTGTGGTCTGGCTGCAGAGCTGAAGGTCCTGCCTCTAGCTTGCTCCTCCTGTGTGGAGGTTGTGGTGAACCTGAAGCAGGAGTTTGCTCAGCAGTGTGAAGCCATCCAGACACACAACAAACAGGAACTGAAGAACCTGTGCATCAGTTTTGAAAAGCATCTCCGCACCACAGAGGATAGCTACCAGGAGGAGATGGCTATGCTCCAGCTTAGGCTGTTGCAGCAAGCCGCTTCTTCATGTGGCAGGTTTGAGACCTCCCCCTTGTTTCAGTAACCATCACTGCAAACAAGCTGGATCTGACCAGCCATGCTCTTATGTTCTGCAGCGTCGACTCTGATGGGACGCTGGAGGAGAAGGACCCCATGCTGGGAAATACCACCACTACCACCAGCAAGGTACTGGAAGCTCAGCATGGTTGTAGACCCCCTTAGGACAGAACTATACAGTTCAACATATGTTGCATGTGCTCCGAAAAAATTGGGCTGTGCAATGAATGAATTTACTGCAGTGGCACTAGTGCGATTTACTGTCTGTGTGCATCAGACAAAGCTGCTTGTTTGTAGGGCTGTGCAATATGACGAAGTTAAAATGTCTATCGTTTCATATTATGATTTATCATTTATTTCATGGTTCGTCACAATAGTTTTGCGATCCCAGTACACTTGCCCAATTGCTCTTTGCTGCAACCTGACCGCAGGGATAAGCCTAAATAATAGACATTTCCTGTAAAGTGTGCTTTAAGCATTAATCTATGGGGGACAATATATAGAAATTGTACACTCACCTAAAGGATTATTAGGAACACCATACTAATACGGTGTTTGACCCC